TTTATATGTAAGTTACTTAAAATCAACAAATATATCTGATCAATCTCTGCATTACTAATGCCTGACACAGTATGGAGATGTGTGTGTTGGGTAAATGTGTGCTAACTGACTGTGTGTGTGACAAGTTAGCACTGTAATTTTATTCTTCTGCTTATATCATTACATAAACCAAGTGGTTAAAAAAATCAATAAATTAAACAAAAATATCTTTTAATAAAACTAATACTTTTGTTTTAAATCATTTTCATTAAAAATTTTTATATAGAATTGTTTCCCTTCCATTCCATTGATACTGTTTAGTTGGCTGTTGATTATCTAAGGCAGGTATGGTGAAGGCAAATTTTTTTCTATCAGATATTTGCAAAAGGATAGTAAGAACAGTCTTTTAAATCTATTATTATAATATGCCAATCCTTAGCCAAAAACCTTTAGATAAATTTTAATATCAGTTCCAGTATTTATAAATCCAACAAAAGATTTGTCATTTAGCTTAATTTCTAATTGAGGTTTTTGGTCATTAATAAAGTTTGCCAATAAACTTTTATTCCAGTACTTCCAAAACTTCCTTGTCTTAAAACATTAGATTTTTTTAATTAGCATATTAATAGCAGAAGTTGTGCAATACAGTCTCTAGCCTGAATAACATAATCAGAAGTGAAAATCATCATAATTGAAATTTCATTCGAATAAGCTGAATCAATTATACCTAAATGTATTATTACTCTTTTTAATGTAACAGAAATATGACCAAATTATTAACTAATATTAATGTGCTTGTAGGATCAGGCCAAATATATCTATAGGTATGTATATCTCAGTAGATGGTGTGAAGAGTCCATTGTCACAAGATGATCTTTGTTCTCTGAAATTACCTTTTGGGCCAAGAGTCACAGCCAAAGTTGCATTTTAAATGTCTGATAAGACCTTTTGGCAATTTCTTAAAAGTTTTTTCCACAGCCAGGTGCTCCCCTTGGGCCATAAGGTGCCATTGGGGTGCGGAGGTGGGGAGCTGGTGCTGGGCTGCCTGGCTGAGCATGGCCACAGCCTGGGTGGCTCAGCAGCCATGGCAGTGGTGGCACCATGCTGTTTAATTTTGCTGGACATAAAGCTGCTGGCATTTAGAATTAACATTATTAAAAGCCAGTATATGTAAAGTGATATTGCTTAAATTAGGAGGACTTACTATTTCTTGAACCTGATATTTCTTGCAATTTAGCAATTAAATCTATATAAGTTTCATTAACATTTTGTTTAACATTTATATGGAAAGATACAGCCTAAGAGAAGCTATCTTTTCCCTACTTTAATACAGCACTGTTGAATTTGAGAAATAGCCTGATCATCATATTTTAATTGCGCATTAATATCAAACCAATATTCCTGGCCCATAATTTGAGTCAGAAATTTTAATTCATAGGTCTCTAGACCCATTTAACTAGGGTTGCTGATGCATCTTTTCCCTGCACCAAGTGGTGAACTATAAAAATTTAGGCGAAGATATAACTGTTTGCATGAAAGATTTCCAATCGCAAGGGATTAACATTTCTAATTGAGCCAATTCTTTAATCGAGCTCTTTGTGTCATGACAGTTTGTGTTGGCTGGGAGCAGTGGCTCATACCTGTAATCCTGGCACTCTGGGAGGCCAAAGCAGGAGGAACACTCAAGGTCAGGAGTTTGAAACGAGCCTGAGCAAGAATGAGGCTGTGTCTCTACTAAAAATAAAAAGAAATTAATCAGCCAAATAAAAGTATATAGAAAAATACGCAGGGCATTGTGGCATATGCCTGTAGTCCCATCTACCAGGGAGGCTGAGCAGAAGGATTGCTTGAGCCAAGAGTTTTGAGGTTGCTGTGAGCTA